TGTGGTTGTGAATTATCTGACATGGTTGCTGAGAATTGAACTCAGGTCCTCAGGAAGAGCAGTATGTATTCTTAACCACTGAACCATCTCTCCAGCCCTATTCCTTGTAGTTTTATTTATTATTCTTGGCAGTACATCGTGCTCCTTTTAGAGATAAGTCTGCATTAAATGCTTGATTTATTTCTAAGCTGTGCACATATTCACAGTATAGCTATTTTTCAAATGTTTATCAAGTACCTAAAGTGGGTCACAACATTAGATTTGTTACTAGCTAAAAATTTCGTGATGGTCTGAAAAAGAATTTTTACCATCTTAGAATTCACACTGTTGTTCAGAAGAGTGTTAAGAAATGAACACATTAAAGCACCCAAACATTCAAATGATATAATTAGGCATAGCCATACCATATTCCCAGTCTACAACGGGGAAGGAAGATTCTAGGCCATGATAAAACAGTCAGTATGATCAGAATTCATGAGTCTTTACCTGGGCATGCTGTTGAATGATTATTACTATTTCATTTAATTTCTTAAAAGTAATCATCACAGCTCAATGAGAAAAATCAAATGGTATGTTGTGTGTATGACATTCAACATCGCAGAGTTTAGATAAATGTTAACTTACTTTACTGTTCCTTCTCAAAATTATTTATGCTACCTTGACTTAGAAGAATATTTTGTTTTATAGATTAACAAATAATGTTTTTGAAAAAAAACCAAAGGATGAATACTTGCAAACACAGAGAAGAATCAAGTGAATGTCTCTTGTTGTTTAAACTAGATTACAGGTAGGCTGGTCACACTTATAGATCATAAATATTTTCTTTTTTTTAGAGTTATAAAACAGTTATAAGAATAAAGATTTGTCATGCTCTAAGAAAACAAATGAACACTATTTTAAACCTCAATCTGAGATAATTTATACAAATAAAATAAACCCAAACTTGAAATGTTTTAATAATATGAGAATCTTATAATTTTCAATTTTCATGTATTTAATACTTTTCAATCTCTAAAAATTAAACAGCGTTTTATATACCTTTATTTCTGCATTTATCAATTGTACCCATTCTCTTTTTTCATATTTTATTTATTATTTTTATTTTATGTATATGGTGTACTGCCTGCGTGTAGGTAAGTGTACCCTTGTGGTGCAATGCGGAAAAAATTAACGAGTCAGTAAGCTAGTATATTATACCTAAGAAATTATAATGGAGGTAGTTTGTTCCCACTAACATCAAAATCATTCATTATCAGATGTTTTGTTAATAAAACTGATAATGTTATAACCAGAGAAGTATAATTCACCTAGATCCTTGAATATGCTTCGATCCCTGCTTATAAATTTATCATACCATTAATCTGACATACCATATCCTTAACATAGGCAAACATAATGGCATGTATTATTTAATATACCTTTCAGGCTCCACCATTATATAACATCTATAGAGCAGGTAGAAGTCTATATGTTAGGTAAAAGAAAAATGCTATGATGAAAATTAAAAAGGATTACAAATGTTATTTTAAGTGTTCATATCCCTGACTTCTTTCAATGTATTTTGTCCACAACTTCTTTGTCTCCCTGAAACAGCTGTTTGTCCCTCTTTCCTATGAGCAAATCTGATTGCTTTCTTCCTATGTCCACACATATCTTACTTAACTTGTTTTTTTCCCACATATAATTTATTTAACTCTAATTTCTCCACAAAGCCACTCTTCTTTTCTAACTTCCTAATGACTGTGAGTTTCTGGGTTTTAAAATCAATTTGTTATTTAGAATAACAACCCTGCTTTTTAAATGAAATTTTATTTTATTATTTTTGTGGGGTTGTTTTGCATTTTTAAATTGAATTTTTAAAATAATTTTTATTAATTTTTTGTATATTTCATACAGAACAGTTCGAAATCTCTCAATCATCTTTATACCCCTGTCCCCACTGGCACTCTCCCCCACACACCCCCATTGGAGCCCACATACTCAGTGTCCATGTCAGGCCCACTGGCTTCCCAGTGTTCCCAGAAGTTCCCCAGTTCAAGCCCATTCACTAAGTCTAGGCAGCCTCTGTAGAGTCCCTTGTCTTAGGAAGATCAGCTCTTCTATGGAACATAGAACAGGGTTAATGAAGAGTAAGGACATTAATGAACCTCTCAGTTCTCAATAATGAAGCTTCTTCATGCAACAAAGGGCCAGGAACACAAAAGGTCACAAATAGCCAAAGTATAGAGATCAAGAGTCTGCTGAATGCTGGTCCTTGGAAGGATCTTTATTAATCCTCTCCTACCCAAGGCTCAGGGACCATCATGGAAGAGGGGGTGGAACAACAACTCTTTTAGAAAACCCTTTGTTAAACACTTACACTGCTTCTTTCTGCCCCCACCCCTCATCAATACTCCCACTCCTAACACTGAGCTGTGCCTTTTGAACTTATCTCTGTCAAAATTGATCCTCTCATAGGAATGATTAAAATCCCAAACTACATTTAGATTTTGGCCGGCTCACAGACAGGAGCATTTGCCTTTACAGACCTCTTTGGAGGCTCCTTCCTGCCTTCCCTGTTTCAGCCCTTCTGCCGTTGCTCCCGAGATTTCTGGACCTAGCCTCTTCTCTCCCTCCTCTGATGACTTTATCTGTCAACCCAGGTTTTGTGAAGCCAGTCACTTCAAAATATTTGGCTCAAGTCCTTGTCTTCTTTCAAAATTATTATATTATTTTAGTGCCTGAATTATTTTACATAAATTTTACTATTTCTACTTATTTATAATGATATAGTTAGTACCAATCCATCGCTTGTGCTTCAAGCTGGCATCATTTTTGCTGTCATAACTCCCACATCTCATCAAATGCCAGTTCAACTCAATTCCTCATTCTGAAACTATTAAGTTGATAGTCATGAAATGGAAAAGTCTCATGGTGCCCTTCTTTACTTAATACATTTTTGTGCCTGGGGATAGGTCAATATGCTGTTTTCCTGTTCAAAAAACTACTGTGAACCAAAGTCAGATACCACAATAGACAAGCTATTGAATCAGCCTAGGTGTCCACTAACAGATAAATCAAGAAAGAATATGTAGTCTATGCACACAGTGGAATTTTATTCAGCCATAAAGAAGAATGATATTGTGCAGTTTGCTGAAAAAAAATGGATGCAACCAAATCATTATATTGAGTGAAGTAAGTCAGACACAGAAAGACAAATATGTCATGTCTTATGTTTTCTCTTTTTGGGGGTCCTAAAATTCTTTATAGATACATAAAATATGCATATATATGTGAATGTATATGTATTACATGGCAGTAGAAGAGAGACGGGGGAGAAACAGAATCGAACAGGAGGAAATGAAGAAAGGGGAGAGAGAATGAGGTGAGGATGAGTATGAATGAGTACATGATATACTTGAAAGAATTATCTTTATGAAGCCATATACCACATATAATGAATATATGTAAATAAAACTATGGTACATTAGTACAGCTTTTTAAAAAGTAAGAATTATTGATTACATGCCACTACCAAATTGTCTCTACCTTACATTGTTTTCTATGATAAAAAATTAGCCATGATTAAATAATTTTTATGTTTTTCTTTTGAACAATCTACTTCATCACGTGTACTACCTTCATACTGAGTTTGAAGATAGATGGTGATTTCTCTTGGAGGGCATTACTTTGTATAATGCCTCAAAAAGTATGTGTTATCCTCAAGTACAGCTTTACAGCCTCTAAATGATAACACTTTCACCTCCGTAATTTGTCTCTGATGTTTCTTTCTTACAGATTGTGACCTGGCACTACCCAAACCATACCTTATTCTTGCAAAATTCAGCTTAAAAATACTTCATAATGACTTCAGTGGGTAAGAGAATATTCCATCAACTAAAATTTTAATGGGAATAATATTATTATGTGCATACATTGTTTTAGTGTTTGTTTCAAATATCAGCAGATTCTGGAGTCAGAGAAAACAACCATATCTTGTACCCCAATTCTCCAAACCAACTATTCAGCATATATTATACTTTAAAATAATGGTAAGAGGCCTTATGTATTAAAATTATTCTCATATGAAGTAAATTGGGCCAGTTAATTTATTATAGAAATTACACAAATTGTTCAAAAGAGTAATTTTTAAAATAATAGGGTTTTATTTTGCTTATCTGAGAAAACTGCTCCTCTTTTATTATTCCCAGCAAACCCTCCAAATTGATTAATGAGTTACAATTTAGAATACGCCTATGAAACAATAACACAATGATCTCGGTAGTTGGCATTGGAATAAGGATTTTCCTTAATACTTCCTATGACAGTAAGGATTTTAACCCCGCATATTAGATGCACTTGTTTCATCCACGGGGCTTAGCTTTCAAAAGGGCGTGGAAACGTATCTTCAATGGCATGCAAAGCAGGTATGTTACAGTCATGAGATTTCGATTTTGATGGAGAAAGTGACTGGCTCACATAGGCTAAAACGTTTCCTAGTTAAAAAAAAAAAGCCACAACTTTACATTTGATACACTCTAGTACATTATACAGTTTCTGTTGGTCTACTCATTCAAACACAACCTTGAAACTTCACTTTTAAACCTGAGCTCTTTGGGAGACAGCAGAGTGTCTAGCTACAGTTCATTTACTACCGTTCTATCACTCTTTGAGCTCCACTGCTTTAGGGAAGAAAAAAGACAATGGGAAACCACAGACCTTAAAGCCTAAATGAGGCACACACATTTTTATGTTTCTTAAACAATCTATAAACATCTTCTTCAGGGATAATTTCCCTGAAATATATTCCTTTTGATCCTACTTATGAAAAACCAAAATTCTAGTCACTCCAATAATGTCATATATTTAACAGAGTAAGGATCAATACTCATCTGAAAAGAACATTTGTCTAAGCTAATTAATCATATCTGTCTTTGATAAGTCAGAATCTCCAAGGGTAAAATCATGTTCTAGATTACTAGGGGGGGTAGAGGGAGAAGAAAGACTGTGAGAGCACATACATTTCCGTGATGGTCTCTGGCAGATTTGTGGGGATCTCAGTGAGACCCTTCCCCCGGCAGTCTACGATATTGTTGCTGCAGGTACAAGCAGCTGGGCAGTGTAGCACGCTGCAGGAGGGAGCCATAAATGACTGGTGACCTAAGAGAGGGGTTGAAAAACAGGAGTTAGAGTTTTCCTCTTAAATTTCATAGTGGTGAAACATGCAGACTTATCTCAATTAAGAAAGCATGTGACAGATAAATATCTTTAATGTCTATTAATTAAATGGTTGTATATCTTTAAAATTCATTTTGGAAGCATGCGTTTGTATTTTGGGGTTGATATTCAAGTGAAAGAATTGAGATTTTAAAAACTGGTTATCAACCTGAACTTGAAAAAAATCATTAATAAGGCTAAATACAGATTTAAGACCAGAATTCTATTTTAAAGTAATCTGGGTTTCCAAAAGGCAGCAATTTCGAGCAATCTATATTAATTTCTAATATAAATATGCTTAAATGGTGCTCAGTTTTAATCAAACTTGTATGGCTTAATTTCCTTTGTCTCAAAAAAAGAAAAAAAAAAACACTTCCATCTTGGTAGACATAATTGTTGCTCAAATTAAATTATGAAATTCCAACTAATGTGGGAGAAGATTAGATAGAGAAAGTTGAATGTCTGGGTAGATTCAAAATTGCTTCTTTTTTAAAGTTATTATAGAAATTTGTGTGACATCATTCTGTAAGTGTCCATCTATAGGATTCTCTTCAGCACTTCCTCTGATTTGTACTTTACTATGAGGAGTCATCTGCACATGTATAATTTTACTCCTCTGAATTTGAAAACAAAGCTATTATGAAATGAGATTTGACTATTTGAGTGATGTAAAACAGAACATCCCTGTCCAGGCTGCATCAAACAGGCACCTGCTCGGTTGTAGTTCCTGGAGGAAAGCAGGGCAGCCTTCTGGGACCTGCCAGGAAGGATCCCCAGTAGGAGTGATATACCAAGGAAGAGAATGTAGGCTAGCAGATGAGCTTAGCCCTCTAGACACACTGTCAATCTACAACAATAGTCTAAGTCTAAGCAATGAAAGAAACATGTAAACTTGCCTTCTTCCTCATCTAGAAAGCAGCATGGAAAAAGCAAAGAGAAAAAAAAAGTGGTTAGGTGAGAATTGTTAGTCATTTATTTGGATTTTTTTAAAAGCAATCAGACGTATTGAGAATGTTCCGTGACATTATACAAGAACTATAGTTAGGTTATAAAGTGTATAGAATATATTTAAACTTAAAGACAGTTTCTAAGTATATAATTATAATTTAGCAACTTTTCCTCACTTCCTTAAAATGGTTAACTACTTATGATGTATGACAGTCATCCCTTGTGAAACATGAGGGAAGATTTCAGGACCTCCATAGCAAAATCTGTGGCGGCACAAGTTGCTTATGCAAAATGACACTGTATTTGGATATCACCTAGGCAAATCCTCTCATGATGTGGATTGTTTTTAGATTGTAGATTACTTACAACATACTTGTAATACTGTATTGTTAAGGAAATAATGATGATAAGATATCTGCACATTTTCAGTATAAATCATTTGGTTTTAGAAATATTTTTGATCTGTCATTGGTTGTATCCATGTTTGTGAAAGCCATGGATACAGAGAGCTAATTATACAAGAATTAACAATTTTGTGACAGGATCATTGAGGGAGTCAGTGGTAGAGTTCTTGACAAGAGGTACCTGGGTTTGATCAACAACACGACTAAAAAATTTATGTATTTTACTTTAGTTTAAACTAATTTTCTGATGCAGACCAAGCCATATAATTAGAAAATATTTAGGTATATTTTAATATGTATTTATACATTATAAATTTGTGTGTATGCATACATACATCAATGTACTCATGGAATATATAGATTTAGACTTTTGAACTTGACCATAGTTGGAAAAGCTTATTTTTTTGTACCATATTTTAGTCTCTAATACAGAAAATACATTTTATTTTTGATACAGATGTTATAGAGAGCCAAATTAAGCCAACTGTATGTGAAATATTTAGATATTGCATAGACATAGAGAACATAGTAAATGTTAGCTACTGATATTTTATATACCCACAAGTAACTTCCATTTGCAAAGTTTTATTACATAAGCCAGTCATATACTTAAGTATAACTGAGTCATAAGTGCATATATTATATATGCACATATATACATATACATGATAAAATACTCCATCATTTAACAATTACTGTTATTTTATTTTGAATCAGAGAGCAGGGATCCAGGATTAGCTAATAATTTTTCATTAGTTAATATAAAAGTAGATAATAATTTTAACGAATGAAAGGGAAAATAACTCTTTACAAGTAGAACTACAATCTAGAAATTTCCTATATTTCTCGTTGTGTGCAAACTGAAAATTATAAATTTATAAATAATCACTATTTGCCAACCATGTACAAATATCTTAGAACATAATCTTCTTATCAGTGCAAAGGAAACTGTCCACCAAAATTGATCAGTGCGTGAAAGCACATTTGGGGGCAAAACTGAAACTTGAGATTTTGATTCTTCACACCTGCTACATAATAGTATCACAAGAATATAACATAGCTGAGCTTTCTCCCTTACCACTGCAGACAAATTCTCGTTTTTGAACTTCTGCTACATTATGACCCCTCAGGTGGGAAGGGCCCATACACTGAGTGTACAGGCCCACACGAGGCCTTTGGCGAAGCCAGTCTGAGAGCCAGGCCAGGTGGCAGTCGCAGTACAGGTTGTTCGAATGCAGTCGACTGAATCGGAGGAAGGGAATTTAAAGCAAGAAAACAGGAGAAAGTTAATTCATGCACTTTTATTTATGAGTATAAACATAGATAGATCTTTGAGGGTTTATATCTAATTGTTTTTCAAATAATTAAACCAGTTCACAAAGCAATTTTTCCTGTAGCCCCAACATAACAAGAGCCAATGGAGGTGGACTAGGGCTGCAGGTACATAGAGGAAAAGAACAAGCTAACAGAGTTGTGGCTCATAGGTTAAATATCAGTAAGTTTGATTATTAGTCTCTATAGCAACATCTTGCAAAATCTTTTTATCAGAGCACCTTTTATTTTGCTGATGAAGACAGACTAATAATCAATATAAGACACTATTTTATTCACATCCCTGTTCTAATTTCTTTACCCTTTCCCCCTCTCTTCTACCCCTCCCCCCTTTCTCTTCCCTCTCTCTCAAAGAAAAGAGATGAGCTGCTTTGGCTCTTAAGGAACGATCCCCAAAGAACAGAAGCAGAAATTAAAAGGCGTAAGTGGCGGGAGGGAAGGAATTAAGTCAGTCCCTCTCTGTTGGCAGGATCCGCACAAGCTCATGGATTGCTTCCAAATGGCAAATGATACTTCTCCATTAATAAAATATCAGACAAATGTATCTACTAAATTAGGTAAATGACTTCAAACTGGCTTTTATGTTTTCTTAAACTCAAGAAAAGTACATCGAACACTATAAATCAAAGCATCATTCCTTGAATTGTCTATGACACAGTAAAACCATTTTAGCCCTTTTTAGCTTATGTGTTCAATTGTAACCCAATAATGGTAATGGACAGTAAAACATATAACTTAGTCAGAAAGATAATTGAACTATAAGAATGGAATTTTTAAGTACCAATGCTAGTAAATAAAAATGACTAACCAAAGGGAGGGGATTTAAAATTAAAAGGTCAACTTTGCTTTATACTTGATTCTGTGGATAAGGACCAGGTTATCGTACATCAAAGCTAGATGTTAGATTCTGTTTTCATTAGACATTTTGGGAAAGCTGGCGACTGCCCCTCAGTTTCCTGAGAAGTTGAAGTCAGGCCTTTGGAAGCTCGGTGGCACTTCTACCTGACTCTTCTCTGCTCTTCTCCAATCTTTTCATCTAAACATATCAGGTTTCTATGACAGCAACTGGGTGTACGCAAATTTGAAATGAAAAGAGGATATGAAAAATTTAAAAGCTGATTTGGAAGACGAACTAGTGTGTGTGTAACAGAAAATAAAGAACGCTATAAATATGCACAGGGCAGATATTTTTACACTTTCTATAGATTCATTTTTGCAGAGATTGAAGTCATGGTCATTTTCTTTCAAACACATTAAAGTTAACAGAAAACTAATTTTGTCAAAGGTGGTTTGAGTGAATGAGTTTATTAATTAAGTCATATTAGTCTCATTCTCATAGCCCAAGGAAAACTGAATTTAGCTGTTTTTATACACTTAGAATTCTTTTATTTTGCTGCATCATGTTCCAAGGAAATACTGTGTTTTTACATCCAAAATTAGAGTTTAATAAGAAAACATATTAAAGTAGTATTGCCAAATCATTAAAAGTCTTATAATTCAATATATTTTTATTAAAGAATGAAAATAAATGTGGTTTTGGTTATATGCTACTTGCTTATTTATTTGATTATTCATTTATTTAGTTCTTTTTTTGAGATGGTCTCATATAGTGCAGACTGGCTTTGACCTCACTATGCAGCAGAGCCCAGTCTTGAACCACTAAACCTCCTATTTCCTAATGTTGAAATCAGACTTGTGCACTACCATGCCTGGCTTTGGTATATGCTATTTTAAAATGCAAAATATTTTAAAAATATAATCAAAATAGTTTTGCCAGATTTAAAAATACATTTTCTACCTCAAAACCTAAATCTTTGGTTTTATTTCCAACTATTTCTTACATATTATAAGTAATACACTTTTTAGTTCTAGGTGATTTTGAAACACAATTCACGTGAGATTTACATCTTCAAAGACTGTAATTAAATACTTGGGTTTTAATGATTACTTTTTCTTAGAGATAAAAAATAGCTCTAGTTCATACCTTATTTCACAAAAATATCTTAATGTCCATGTATAACCTCTGCAAAGATCTTTTGCAATATAAATGCTGACACGGCCTTAATTATATAATCAGCAGTGGATGATGCTCCAATTTTACATTACAAAGAACATTGGAGCACTAGTTTAGGTTTATTAGGTCTGCTTGCAATATGTAATAAAATCATAAAGATTTCCCATTTATCATGTCTGACAGCCAATCAAGGAGTCTTCTGCTTCTTAATGGAATGTGACCTTTATAATAGCTCAAAGTAAATGTTTTTTTTTCAACTACAAACTTTCCATAATGGATAACACTTAAAGGAAGCTTTGAAGTTTTCAGAATAACAGTACATTTCTTAAAATACCATTTCTACAATTACTTCAAAGTTGCATTTTTCCTTGCCTACACCATAATGAATTAGTAGTGCTGTACTTTGCTTATTAAAAACAGTATTGAAGAAACATTTTCGCTTAATTAAATGTATCCTTTTGTACAGTGTGACTACTTACAACGTCCTAAGTTTAGGCATATGGTTGAAACTTGCCACAGAAAGTCTAGTAATGTTGTTATTGTTGAGAGTGCTATAGAATAAAAAAAAAAGAAATTTTCATTAGATATTGAACACCATTGATCATTTCACATTACCAAATCAAAAACTTCTCATCACTAAATTTATGCAGAACAATTAATTCCCTGGTGGAGAAGGCATAGAGATTCATTGCTTTGTAGAAAACACGATCATTAATTTTTATACTTTAGCATACCTGGTGTACGTTCATAGTTATTCAATATTTGTTACAAATTTGTGGGTTAGGCCAGACCATTGTTGCTACATCATACTTTTGTATGCTTGTCTGCTTTAAAAACTGATTAAGGAGTGAGCGTATGAATGTCTCCATTAGAAAAATTGCACGTCTTCATATGTAATCCATGTGCATGAAGAAATTAACATCCTTGGATTATCCAGCTGGACTCTTATATCATCAATACACAGTCGTTACTGTCTGGTCTTGAATCAGAAGACTGCTACATATCGCTCGATATGGAGAATGGTCACTGTTGAGATTTGGGTGTAAGAACATAGATCTAAATTTTGTAATTGTATCAGGTGGGGATGAAGTGGCTGGTTCTGGCAGTATATTGAGATCTGAATGTGTTCTAACAATTTAAGTTGTGAGTTGTGAGAGAATATATTGTCTTTTGTTTTTTAATGATGTTTGATTCCACTCATATTTATGGTTTCTTGTGGTGTAACAGGAAGATGGGCAGTTGAACAGGTTATGTTGAAAATAATCCCCGCTTGCTTCATATTTGCTCTTAATTTCTTCATCATAATTATTTTCAGTTTAATAAATTATTATTTTAAGGGTGGGAAAAGAAGTCAATTCAAAGAGAATCCTTTGAGAAGTGAAACCTTTCACTTCAAATATCAGGGTATATTTTAATGGCACTTGACAAGATGGTCATTTTCATTGAACACAGGTAAACGTTAGCTGTAGACTACAGGAGCCATTGAATTCAATGTTTTACAGACGTACTGATGTAGTTAGTTATTTTTCCTATGTGACTTAATTAATTAGGTTACTTCTAATATCTTAAAATACATTGCAAAACTGACCAGCAAAGAGAGACCATCAACATTCTGGGATGCAGTTGCAGTGCTCTGTTGTACTGAGTTTAAGTCAGTTCAGTTCTCCAGCCTCCCTAAATCCCAGTTGATGTCTCCAGTGAACATCATTGACAGCTTGCCTAAAGAGGTTTTAAAGATTTATTTAGTTTAGTTCAAACTCATTGATTCAAAACCACAAAATAAAATCTTAAAACATAGGAGAAAGGATTGTTCCAGTAATTTCCATTTTGAGGTTCCAGGGAAAGTCAGACTTTTGGTCATTTTCCACAGCACCAGGACAAGAGACCACAGAACATTAGCTGGGATGACAGAGAATTTCATGGCTGCATCACCAAAGACTTTGCTGTCCTCCACTGTCAGTCTAGTTTGCATTAAATTTTTCTTTTACTTTTCTAAAAGAAGAGTTAGAGATTTTCCTAAAAATACTTCAAAGGTTTACCATGAAGTGTGGGAAAGGTGCTCAGAATATGGTAAGACGTACTCAAGTGTGGGTATGGGTGATACAACGGCGAGGCCTGTTTGCTCTTCATCTCTCTTACGAATGGTGATTCCACTTCTCTGTTCCCTTCTTCTTCATGTTTCTTTTCTGAACTCCATGGACTAGTCATTTCAAAAGTCAGTGCCAAATCTTTACCACAATCACACATCATCTACCTGGTCCGTCAAGGCAGTTATTTTGTGCCTGAAGATGCTTGCCCTCTTCAGTGCTGTCCTCAGTGTACTGTCAACTGCCCATAAAGAATCGCTTTCCATTTCACATCTCACTTATACACCCCACAGATAAACTCTTGTTCCATAACTTTCGCATCACATTCAGAGGCACTAAGAAAAAATAAAAATATCTCTTCTTATTAATTGTATTTCCTCTTTAATTCCTAGAGTTCTGTCGGTTCTCAAAGGAAATTTTCACTTTCTTTTCCCACCTCCATTATTTATGCTGACTTAACGTGACTAAAATCTCTGGAGTACAAAGCACATTGAAATGTGACTTTGGGGACATATTTTTCAGTTTCTCAGATGCAGCAAACATGCATTAATTATAGAATATACCTTGTAGCATTTCCATTCAAAGGAGAGTTTTCATTGAATGTTGAAACTTGTTCCTGTCAGTTGAAATCTTTTCTCAAAATGGTTTTTCATGTAACAATAAACAGTTTCTTAGTATTTTAATGATCGTTGATGATTACCAAGCATGCTATAAATACTGAGACTCAGTGACTGAAAATAAGTGAAACCAACAAAATAGTTTTAAAATCAGCACTCAGTACCGTAGTGTTTACTAAGTATGATGGCAGAGATACGTCATAACTGTGAACAAATTGTGCTCTGAAAGAGAAGGGGACATATTCTGTCTACTCATAGGAATTAAATTTGCTCAAATTCAAGGTTTTCTTTTTGTTTGGAGAATGTATTTCAGTGTAAAAGACAACTTGGTAGGAAAATACAAAATGTTTCCCCTGAAATCATGAACAACCTCTGAGACTGTCACTATGATTTAGTCTTTTTTATTTCTTAGTACCAGGAAAGTGTAAGACTTGGCACAAAGTCTGGTCTTTAATGGGCATGACTCACTATGTTTCAATTTAATTAAATTATGCCCATTGTATAGGAAGGAAAATGTAAAACTAGCAGTTTCAGAACATTTCAGATTCAATGACATTTTCGTTTTCTGAGTCTAATGTCCAAAGAAGAAAGCATTAAGGTGCAGTTCTCAGTATTATTTTTCATACTTAGAAAATACTTCATTTTATTTTCTACCAACCGGAATTGTAGATGAACACTGTTTACTGAGCATAGAAAGGAATCTATCTACTCTCCACTCTCATCTATCTTGAACTTTCACTTAACTTTATTTTACACTTTCGGATAGAGATCTCATTCCAACCGAACACACTTCCATGGGTAATTAGAATGATTATACCATATTCTTTTGTTTGGCCGCAATAGTGTCAGACATTCAAACATGCTCATGGAGACAAAAAAGAGAAACAAAACACGAAGTTAAAACATTGTAAATCTGAAATTCCAGATGAAGATTAAGTTACTGGTCTATTGCCTCCACAGGATAAGAAGATAACCAGCTCCCTAAAGACTCCGAATTCTGACGACCTTTCCGAAACCTGTCATAGTTTAGGTCTATGATAAATCCCAGTCACCTTGGAATTTTATCCAATTTTGCTTTATTAGGCAAATCTTGTAAAAAAATATTAAAATATATGCTATTAAAATGTATATTACAACATTACTTTCTTGACATCACAAAATATCACATAAAACATTGAAATATTTTTAAGACACCCATATTTTCTTATAACTTGCAGTCATTTCAGTTATCTTCTGCTGTAAACAAGCTCTGATGCTCTTG